ATCACTTCAACAATAATCTGTGTAAGATTGGGCTCATGTTTGGCACAAAAGTAAAATTGACTAATTCTTACCCTTTGTCTGCTGGTGTTTCTTTCTGTGTGTAAAAATGTTTTTTAAAAGGTTGTTAATAGATATTTGAGATGATGAGGAGGTCCAAAGCGTGACCTTGGAACACACATATTTCATCATTTGCGTTATGTGCAGGTTAATAATGTGACTTCCAGCACAGTGTTGTCTTTATAAAAACATATTTTACAACAACACATGATGAGTAATAATAACACAAATGAAAGCAGCTGCAGTTCTTTCATCAGTCCAGTGATGTAGAACAACAGCAATAGAGATCAGTGTGATCCACAGTGCACAAGCACAAGTCAGCAACAATACTGTGGTAGTTACATGCGAACATGACATTTATGAGTTCATTTGTTATCATTACTGTCATCATAGTTATTGTTATTGTTATTAATGTGGTATATACAGATTATACAGCAGGTACATGATATGAGCAGTAAAGGTAAGAACTGTTGTACTTCTCTGAGTTGGAAACTTGTACTTGCTCTGTGTTCTTAAATCATAAGAAGTCAACTTGCTTTAGAATTACAACAGCTAAAAGGGGAAGTTGGTTTCTTGAACTGTTGAATTTCATGAATTTAAATATTTTCACTTTGAAAGCTCCAACCAAAGGATCTACTTGTCCTCCTCTTATTGGCGTGGACTTCTTTGGTGAGACAACCGTATTTACTGGTTTTATTCCTATCTAAGCCAGAGAGTCGTGCTCATTTGCAGCTTGCAGACTTGTGACTAGTTAACACAGAGAGTGTATTCAATGCTTCATTAAAAGTTACTACATTATTGTGTTTGCAAATCCAGGTGATGAGTGTCATTACAGTCCAGAGTGTGAAAATGGTGACAGCCAACATGTTACTGAGTGTCTTCTTTGTTTCAGGTGAGCTGTTTGTTCAGTCACTTTTATTTAGACAGGCTACTTGAATTATTTACTGTTTGAACTTAAAAACAAAGCACACATTTTCCCCCCAAATTAATATGAATTTTAAGATTTGTATTTTCCACCTGAGTTCCTTTGTCGCTGTGGTAATACTGAATTAGTTGTCTGGGGATCTTTTGGTTGGTATAGGAGGGTTTGGTCATCACTGGGGTCAGGCTTGAGGGGATTATTGATGTAAATCATTACAAAAACTGTACAGTGAAAAAAAAGACCATAATGCAAAAACATTCCTGCTGTAGTATATTTTGTTTCTCTCTTCATGTTGATTTTTTTTTTTTTTTTGCATATTATTTTTGCATATGTTCGCCACAGCTGTTAATCATGAGTCTGGTTTTACAGGTGCTTTGGCTGACTGTCCTGCTGATCCAGCCCTATTCATTACTGCACCAAAGAACATGGAAGCACTGAATGGATCTTGTCTGCAAATTCCATGTAACTACAGCGCTGAATCGGGGACGGTATTCGACATCACCAAAACAACCTTCGGAGTGTGGATTAAAAATAACCTTGATTTTGCCAACAATCCAAACAATGTGATTTTTAATGGCAGCAAGGCAAATAATATCAACCCAATACATATTACTGGAAACTTGAGTTTGAGAAACTGCACCACTTTATATTCCAGTTTAATCACAAATTACACAGACACATACTTCTTCCGAATTGAGAGCACGTCATTCAGGGCAACAGCTTCTTGTGATCCTCTTCAAATAACAGTTAAAGGTAAGAGAGTTGTTTTTCAGTTTATAATGTTATTGTTTAGGAAAAAAAGTGAAAACACCTTAACTAAACCTGCAATGTGAAAGTCAACACCTACAGCATGGTTATTAATAACATCTGTGGTGGATAAATGTTGCAGAAACCAGCCAGTGATCAGAGTTGTCAGTTTGAATGTCTGACAAAAATGTAAATACACACACTTCCTGGCTATCAATGTGTGATTTTTCCCCTGCACCACTAATAATATTACCATCAGAATGTTGTCTGTACATCCTGAATTTAGCATTCAGTACTTAAAAAGAGGAAGTCCCATGTGTTGAGTTGTTCAGACTATTTTCCATCAGTAAGAACAAAATCTACATGTCTACTTTTTACACTCCAAGGAGTCACAAGATAAATGTAAGGGGTTGTGAAGTAACTAATCGAATAGGAAAGAAGACAAGACAAAGCTCTGCTTTAAAAACTGTTCATATTCCACTTCTCTCTCACTTTTACTTTATTGTGAAATACTGGAGAGTTTTTCTTTAAACAGTTATTGAAATGAAACCATGTTAGAAGTTGAGAGGGGAAATGTCTCTTTACTGAAACTGCTAATAATTCATAAGCTTCAAAAACATGATTAGGAGCCCCAAACAGATTGCTTTTTTATTTGGCAAAAAAGTGTCTCATTATATGATGTAAAATCTTAATCTCTAGAGTAGCGTACTAGCTGTGTTAATGTAGTGGAGTTAAAAGTACAAAATTTAGCTAATGTAGGAGAGTACAGGTATATAGTAAAGATGGTAAATGTGGTATATATTATGCCTGGTATATCAGCATGTTACAAGTATCATTGTGGCATGTTAGCATCGTACCGTTAGCATTTTGCTCAAAGTTTGGCCTTACAGAGCTACAAGCATGTCTGTAGACTCTTAGAATTATGACTGTGTTTTTCAGTGTAAAATCTGTGTTTGATTTGAAAACACAGATTCTCCTCAGAAGCCCAGCATTGAAGTCCCACGTGATCTGAAGGAGAAGGAGTTTGTCACTATAACCTGCTCAGCTTCCACTCCCTGTCCACACTCCCCTCCTAAACTCACCTGGAATCTCACACAAGACCCTCACAACACAATAGAGGATAACACAGATCAAACCTTCACATCTAAAATCCAGGAGACCATCACTCTGTCAGACAAACATGATGGAGTCACCATCACCTGTTCTGCCACATATCCTGTGGATGGAGGAAACTTCAAGACAGCAGAGGAGAGAAAGACTCTCAATGTTTCATGTAAGACAACCAGTGGCTATGTTTACATGCTAGTATTCCACTGTTGTTTGACAATATTCTCAATTTGATACGGGTCATGTAAACAGCGTATTCCTTTAATATATTCTGAATTAGGCGAGTTTAGCATTGTCTGAGTAAGATGTGTGATAGTTTGGTATTATTCAGGTTTTATTAGCATTTGTGGACATGTATTCAGCACATTTGAAATATGCATCTCAACTGGGGTTTATACTGCAGTTTGCAACATTCAGCCTCTTACCTATTTACAGTCAGCTCTGTGCGTTGTCACAGATGTGTTGTAAACAAACCAACTTACCTACAGTTTGAAGGCTGGTGTAGAGATGCAGGCCCATATTTTTGGTCTGAAGAAAAAAACACACCTACTTTTAAACTTCACCAAAGACTTGGATACCAGCAGGTTTTTATATGCACAAATATTGCAACACCATCCTTTTCAAGAAGGCGGCTGAAGGAAGGAAAAGAGGGAGGCTGAGCTTGCATGGGTCAACAATTCCACCACTGTTCGAAAACTGTGAAAAAATCCCAAGCGCATGACAAGGTGCTTCAGCTACAAATTTTGACGTGATAAAGGATATGTTAGGGCATGTTAATCAGAGTATGCATGGCTGCCTGTAAACAGGAGTACTGATGATTGGTTCCTTTTCATTCGCCATGTAAACAGCTTAGTAGGAATATTGTCTTTTTCGGATGTGAACGTACTCAGTGTTTGTTATTGGATCCTGTCAGCTCATGAAGACTGTCTCATGAAGACTGTCTTTTCTCAGTTATCTCTAATGTTCTAGCCTTTTTGTCACATTTTCTCCAGATGCTCCCAAGGACACCTCAGTGTCCATCAGTCCATCGGATCTGGTGTCAGCAGGTAGCTGGGTGAACCTGACCTGCTCCAGCAGAGCCAATCCTCCCGTCAGCAGCTTCACCTGGTTCAAGACCAGCAAAGATGGACCCATCAAAGTGTTTGACAGAGACTATTACAGCTTTAATGTGACAGATGGAGGCATTTATTACTGTGTGGCCACAAATGATCTTGGTAATGGAATATCACCAGAGATCCATCTTTATATTGAGGGTAAGAATGAAAACCTGAACTTCTGCAATGGCTACATCAGTATACAGTAGTTACACATTTATCGCTCATCTTCTCACTGGAATTGTTGTTTTTTTTTATTAGGAGGAGATAGCTCTGTACAATGGGCAGCAATTCTTGGAGGAATCTTTGGGATCCTTGTTCTCATCTGTCTGGTGGTCTGTGTTTGGTGAGTATCACAAATTAAAGCAGCAGTCTTGACTGAGTTCACTCACATGCAATAATATCTGTAATATCTTGACACTTTACTTGCACACTGTATATTGAACCTGAAACACAGTATAACTGATCTGATGTCTTCCAGGCGTTTAAAGTCGACACATTCAACTGCACAACAGACTCAGGTGAGAACATACTGACCTTCCTGTACAGCACTGCACTGTGTGTTCTGCACGTTTTACATCTGCTCACATTGGCTGTGTAGTCAACCTGACACAGTGTCTGTACTCTAGTTTACATCCTGACTTTGTCCAAAAGTCCAGTCAATTAATCTGAGATGAGTCTGTCATTATTCAATAAGAATCCAGCTGAAGGTTCACCTCAGATCACTTCCTGATTTAATTAATTTTTTACAGAGTCAAACAGATGAAGAGCTGGTTGTTGAAGAGCAAGCAAGAAAAGCAGAAGAAGAAGACATCCATTATGGAGAGATCGACTTCTCGAAGCGGAGACCTGAAGCATCCTCGGCCTCAAAGCAGGACAGTGGACAGCAGCAGGATGTGCTGTATGCACAGATCAAAGTGTCAAACACAACAAACAGCTTAGGACAGACTGCTGACAGCCCAGAGGATCTCTACGCACAAGTGAAGAAAAAATAAGTGCTGTTTTGTTTGTGTAAAGACACAGATTAGACCTGAATTGAATTCATATTAAATAAACTGTAAGTTTTATAAATAAAGTATGTTTTCATGTTGGATAATGTAAAAAAAAAAGACACCAGAGTTTGGACAGGAAAATATCATTTTCATTGCCTACAATTCAATAAATGCAAACTCAGAACCTCCACATCCTGCAGTGTTTTTAGTGTCAGTTATCACCATGTTT